CAGTAATCATTACTTTAATTAGGCAGAAAAAGTTCATTGTGGTTTCCAAGCTCATTAATGTTAACGTTAGCGGTCTTCCACTGATGATAGTGGCGTTAGCTAGCTTTAGTGGTTAGCTAGTCTATGATGAGCCATAATTTAGCAATAGATAACATCATACTGCAAATTGTAAAACATACATTTTCAATATAACAGGCCAAGGAGAGATGATTGAAGCGTGTTTCGTCCGTTTTTATTTTATTATTTAAATATTAATTTATCGGCCATTATAACTGCCGATACCGATATTATGGAAAATGCCTAATATCGGCCGGCCGATATATCGGTCTGGCTCTACATAAAATATTTTCCCTTTGGAGTGGACTTTGAGCTTTGTATCCTTGCAGATTTTTGTTATGCTCAAAACAGCAACTTCAAGGAAAGTATAATAGGAAAATAATATGACAGTGACAAACTTTCTTAGTCTTGTACATTATAACTTCTCTCAGTGCGTACAGTCAACCAGAGGAGCTTAAGTTTAGAGCCGCTGGTTTATAGGGGCTGTTTATTGGCCCAGTGACTGAAGCGCATCCAGCCTCATAAAGACAAAATAAGGAACCTCGCCTGACTGACACGGAGACGCATCGGAGAGTAAAAAACGAGCGCCTGGTCCCTGAGGCCTGCCTGGAGGTAACAATTCTCATCGCTGAGCATGTCTTCTCCATGGCAACCTCAGGTCTGATCCGATTTCCATAATGTCTCCAAGGATGCCTTTGACATCTTCACTGTGGTTTAATACAGCAGCCGGCATCACACTACTTGGCCTCCTGCCTCGCGGACCCACATCCCCACTGGATGAGGAAACAGCTGCCACATTCCACGTCTTCAACCGCCTCCAGCATTTTCTCGTAATTGTGAATCGGCGCAGGACAGATAATCGTCCGCCTTGTCGAGAACCAATCGCTGCTTTGGTTGCTATAGGGCAGTGTGCTCTGTCAATATGGAGAACCGCGTCGTCCTTATTTGTAGTGTTTGTTAAATAGATAGTTCAATTTGAAATTAATTTTTGGTATGTTTTATCTTACCTCAAGGGCATCCAAGATGTAGGTGTCTTTGTTTCCACAGTAGTTTCAATTTTGATATTTTTAGGTCAAACCGTTCTTGTCTGTCAGTCATATAATGGAGGTCTATGGTCACCACCTCAAAGAGCATGCACAGAGAAGTCCAAATTAAACATGATTTAATGACTCGTAAATGTAAGTACACATTGATGGCCTAAGACACGAAACGAGCGGTTTGTGTGAGAAAACCAACAGTATTTATATCGTTTTTACATCTTGTAACCACAGCAACTTCCAAGTGATCTGAGGTAAAAACGATATAAATACTGTTCGTTTTCTCACACAAACCGCTCGTTTCGTGTCTTAGGCCATCAATGTGTACTTACATTTACGAGTCATTCAATCATGTTTAATTTGGACTTCTCTGTGCATGCTCTTTGAGGTGGTGACCATAGACCTCCATTATATTACAGACAAGAACGGTTTGACCTAAAAATATCAAAACTGAAAATACCGTGGAAACAAAGAGGCCTACATCTTAAATGCTCTTGAGGTAAGATAAAACATATCAAAAATTAATTTCAAAGTGAACTATCACTTTAATGCGAGTATCAGTAATATCATTGCTAATGCATTTTTCTAAATGTCATGACATTTGTTAACAAACAAGTATTCATTACTTCAATAATAAATCAACCTTTTTTGAAATACATTGCCTGTGATAACATCACTCTAAATTGAAATGGACTCAAGCTGCTTTGAAATGACGTGTATTGTGAAAAGTGCTACACAAATATATTTGAATAGAATAGACAAAAGGAATGACTAAACACAAAGCTGCTTCTGTTGGAGTATTTTGCAGCTGTGCTGTATTAGTGTGACACATCACCTTTTATTTGAGGTTTATTCAGGAAAGGTAACCGGAGAGAGCGGCGGTCCCGCCCCTGGCACGTGCTCAGCGCTGTTCAGCGTGGATCGTGGCGGAAGTCAAACCCGACGGATAATTAGAGACTCTGTGGCCTTTCAGACACCGCATTTAATTACAGATATATTGCGCATGCTGGGAATGGCAAAAGTTCTCTTACAATACACACTAATCTCACAAACAGAAGAATGATAACCATAGTCAAGTAACTGTAGGCCTATAGGCTACTCAAGGTATGGGGTTTTATTTAATTTAATTTATGGCACAGTTCATGTGTTTATTTTATTATATTTAACTTTAATAGACCTCAAGATAATTTTTTATTTTATTTATGGCACAGTTCAGGTGTTTATTTTATTTTATTCAACTTTAATAAACCTCAAGATAATTTTTATTAAAAAAATATATGACATAGTTCAGGGGTTTATTTTATTTGATTGAAGCTTGAATAAATATATTATTTTGTTTATTTTATTTTCTTAAACCTCAAGATAATATTTTATTTTATTTTTTATTTTATTCATGGCACGGTTCATGTGTTTATTTTATTTGATTCAACTTGGATAAATCTCAAGATAATGATTTATTTTAATGTATTATTTTTTATGGCACAGTTCAGGTGTTTATTTTATTTTATTAAACTTTAATAAACCTCAATATTTTATTTTATTTTATCAATGGCACAGTTCAGGTGTTTATTTTATTTGATAATATTTTATTTTATTTATGGAAAATTTCAAGTATTTATTCTATTTTTGATAAAACCTCAAGATAATATTTTTTAATGACACAGTTCAGGTGTTTATTTACTTTATTCAACTTTTTCATTTCAAATTTTGGTTAGTTAAAAAGTAATTTATTTTACTGTATTTGTATTTAATTATTTTATTTACATTTGAATTCAGGCGACATTATCATTCGAGATTTCTAAAAAGATAAAGTATTGAGTTGGCGCTGCTCATGATGTCCTTGTGTAGCCTATGACCGCATGCATGACGTCATCAGTCCGACTGTCTGAGTCAAAGCTCGGGAAAAACCTGACACCAAATTATATGTGTGTTATTAAACATCTGTCTGTCTTTTTCTTTTCTATGGACAATTATAAGAAGCAACAGATTCATCTATTTTTAAACAATTGGCCACGTTACCATAGTGATTTCAGACATATTGTTTCCAAGCAACAGCATCAAATGAAAGAAAGAGAATCTGTGGACTGATTGTGCCTTTCTGTCCATTCAAGAAACCCACTGGTGTCAACCGAGAGAAATGGTGGGGGAATTTTCACTCCCTTCCAAGTCAACGTCAACTTATGTTAACTTGAGCGAGATCCAAGCCTGATGAAAGAGTTTGGATGAGCGCGGTTGACAGATCCTGTGGATGGAAGGCTGAGCTCTTTCATTTAGATATCATCTTTGCCTCAGATGCTCCTCCTAAAATGGGGGCTTTTAAATAGACAAAAATCTATTAAAAATTGGTCTTGGATTTATTTGATGAGAAATATTTGAGCTCAGATTTGGTATCTTGACAAATCTGAGCACAGTTGAGAAACTTTTTATTGGAATTTTCCATTTGTTTCTTATCTAAAAGCCTGTTTATGAAGGGGAAAAAGGGAACTTCAGGGTAGGTTCGACTTATTTCGCACACACACACTTAAAGGGATAGTTCACCCAAAAATTTGAAGTGCTGTCATGATTTCCTCACCCTCATGTCCTTCCAATCCTGTAAGATGTTTGTTCATCTTGGGAACACAAATGAAGATATTTTAATTTTTAAGATTTTTTATCTGAGAGATTTCTGTCGCTCCATTAAAGGAGTAGTTCACTTTTAAAAAAAACTTTTGCTGATAATTTACTCACCCCCGATGTCATCCAGGATTTTTCTCCATATAATGGACTTCAATGGGAACCAAACGGTTCAAGGTCCAAATGAGAGTTTCAGTGCAAACTGTTCAAAGGGCTTTAAACGACACCAGACGACGAATAAGGTTCTTATCAAGCGAAACGATAGTCAATTTAAAAAAATAATAACAAAGTTTAAGTTTTATAAGCTCAAATGATCGCCTCGAGTTTGAACAGGAGAGTCACAAACGCGCATCACAGAACAGAGCAAAGCGAGCATTTAAGCTTATAAAACTTAAACTTTGTTATTATTTTTTTTAATGAGCGATCGTTTCGCTTGATAAGACCCTTATTCATCGTCTGGGATCGTTTAAAGCCCTTTGAACAGTTTGCACTGAAACTGTCTTTTGGACCTTGAACCGTTTGGTTAAAAATCCTGGAATGTTTTCATCAAACATTTCTTTTCAACTGAAGAAAGAAAGACATGGACATCTTGGATTACATGGGGGTGAGTAAATTATCAGCAAAGGTTTTTTTTTTTTTTTTTTAAAGTGACTCGTATACACAAGCCCCAGAAAGCTAGTAAAGTCATCATTAAAGTATGAGACTCCAATGGTTTAACCAAGTGACTCGAGTGCTTTATTTGCGAAAAAAAAAACAAACACACAATTTACCACATAACCTCAGATGCGCGTTCACGCAACAGTGTCCGCTGTCATGCGCCGCGCTGCTCTAATGAACGCGTGTTGGCGATTAATATTTTGAGGTAAATTATGTTTTCTTTACACAAAGAAACCTCGAATCGCTTCATAAAGAGTCACATGGATTACTTTAATGATGTCTTTACTTGCTTTCGGGGGTTTGAAAGTGGTAGTTGCGTAGACTGTCAATCAATGGACCGAACAGAATTCGCTCTTAAAAAGATCTTTATTTGTGTTCCCAAAATGAAAAAAAGCCTTACAGGTTTAGTACGGCATGAGGGTGAGCAATTAATGGCAGAATTTTTTTATTTTTGGGTGAACTTGTCGTCGATAACAAAGCATCTGACTGTAAGAAACCAACTGTTTTGTTTTGAGTTGACTTGTAGAAAAAGAACAAAAGCCAATAGTTGTCTGAAGACAAAGGCAGAACAATGAACTTAGTTTTCCCTCTTTTTAAAACTCAAGTGTAAGAAAGAATGTGTGAAGCACATGGTACCCTCTATACAGCAGATCCTCCAGAGCCCGGAGTGTGTGAGATCTCCGCGGACCTTCTTGGGTTGCGTCTGCGTGTCGTCCGTGCTGATGTTGGTGGCGTTACATATATATGCCCGAGAATAAAGCCAGTAGTCGGTCCCGATAGCGATGCTCATCAAACTAAACGCCACAAAAGCCCCGACGGTGGCCAGCAGCATCTGATTCCCACGGTCACACCACGCCATGGCCACTCATAATACTAATAGCAAGGGTAATAATCCACTCCGCGTCATGTTTGGACTCGCGCTCGCGCCGCTTTGTTCAGTCAGTCGCTGTGATCAGGAAACTTGAGCGCGTCTCATCCACATGTTGCTGTTGATATAGTGAGCAGCTCTCAGCTCACATATGGTATTTGTATTATGGTATTCTAGCCTTTATTGGGAGTTTTGGTCATCACCTTGTCCATTTCCCATAATCAAATCCCTCTTTTGTAAACTCAGATGGCTTTGATTTGGGATTGCGATCTTCAAACCACACCTTCAGTCACACTAACCAATGAGAAACACACATGGTCTGGAGAATAAGATGATGCTCTCGCTTCTCTTAGTGATCATGATTTTTTTAATGCTGCATTAAATGAGTAAACAGAGTAAAGATACAGAGGCAGGTAGTCTACATAAAGTGATGCTTTTTTGTGACTTCAAATAAATAGATTGAAACAAATAATTAAGCAAGCCTGATGTAATTTCATCATATTTCTTGACGAATATTGGAGCAAGAGCTGAATAAACTTGATTTACAAAACGGAAAGTTCTGATCCCGGACTGTGATTGATCAATACAGACTTCCAGATAAAATCCACCTGTTCCAAAATAGTTTTAGTTTATGTGAAATATAAACTTCTTAATTGTAACATGTAGCAACAACTTTAGAAATGAATAATAAAAAAATAAATAACACTCACTTTCAGATGAAGTAAATATGTTAGGCTATATTCTATATGAAATCGTTTCTGGAATAAAATATAATATTTATAGAATAATAGGCTCCAGGATCTCTGCAACCTTACATAGAACAAGTGTTTTGGAAAATGGATGAAGAATAGAATAGAATAGAGTAGAATAGAGTAGAATAGAATAGAATAGAATAGAATAGAATAGAAAATGAGCAGGACCCCCATATCAGCCCAGTACATTGATGGAGAATGTGTCTCAGAACAGAATACAATAAAATAGAATAGAATTCATATTGTATAATATGCTTTGAGCATCCCTGCAAACCTGCATAGGACAGGCAGTTGATGGAGAATATTGATGGAGAATAATGAATAGAATAGGATAGGCTCAAGCATAAGCTTTAGCATCCCTGCAAACAGGCAGCAGAATTGAAATAATATTGTATTATAGGCTCCAGAATCTATTGATGGAGAATAGAATAGAATAGAATAGAATAGAATAGAATAGAATAGAATAGAATAGAATAGAATAGAAAACAAGAAGGACCCCCATATGAGTGTGTGATCATCAGCCCAGTACATTGATGGAGAATGTGTCTCAGAACAGAATACAATAAAATAGAATAGAATTCATATTGTATAATATGCTTTGAGCTTCCCTGCAAACCTGCATAGGACAGGCAGTTGATGGAGAATATTGATGGAGAATAATGAATAGAATAGAATAGGATAGGCTCAAGCATAAGCTTTAGCATCCCTGCAAACAGGCAGCAGAATTGAAATGATATTGTATTATAGGCTCCAGAATCTATTGATGGAGAATAGAATAGAATAGAATAGAATAGAATAGAATAGAATAGAATAGAATAGAATAGAAAATAAGAAGGACCCCCATATGAGTGTGTGATCATCAGCCCAGTACATTGATGGAGAATGTGTCTCAGAACAGAATACAATAAAATAGAATAGAATTCATATTGTATGCTTGGAGTAAACCTGCATAGGACAGGCGGTTTGTAAAATTGTTGGAGAATAATGAATAGAATTGAATAGAATTAATATAGTATAATAGGCTATGGCAAAACTGAAAACCTACATAGGACAGACGGTTTAGGATATAGAATAAAATAAAATTGAAAAGAAGATAATCTGGTAATAAACTCCAGCATCCCTGCAACCCTAGGCGGATAGAATAGAATGGATAGGCTCAAGCATAAGCTTTAGCATCCCTGCAAACAGGCAGCAGAATTGAAATAATATTGTACTATAGACTCCAGAATCTATTGATGGAGAATAGAATAGAATAGAATAGAATAGAATAGAATAGAATAGAATAGAATAAAAAAAATAAGCAGGTCCCCCATATGAGTGTGTGATCATCAGCCCAGTACATTGATGGAGAATGTGTCTCAGAACAGAATACAATAAAATATAATAGAATTCATATTGTATAATATACTTTGAGCATCCATGCAAACCTGCATAGGACAGGCGGTTTGTAAAATTGATGGAGAATAGAGAATAGAATAGAATTAATATAGTATAATAGGAGAGAGATCCAATTATATTAACTAATATTTGCCAAAGAATCCATTTAAGAAATAATCCAATGCATTTATTTTAAAAGTATAGTATAATATTTGCTAATAATAATATATTGTATTTCCTGATCTTGATGAGTGTGGCAAAGGAGTTTTCATACCAAAAATGATTTCATCATCCAAGACAAACATTTTGGAAAATGGATTGATGGATGGTTTCAGTAGTTACTAGAGTACAGTTAGAACATTAACTATTAGTGTTATATAAACATCAGACACAGATATCTATTGGGCCTGAAATATATTGTGTTTTTACACAGTGTAGAGTTGATTATTTCTGAAATGTGTGACTGATTACAGATTACACCACTAAAACTGTAACCAGTATCGCAGTGATGGCTTCATATTGTGATACCATGGTACTTTAACAGAAACCGTGGTACTGAATGTGTTCTATAGTTATGAGCTATTTACATGGTTCTCTAAAGTATTCCCAAGAATTAAATAAGTACATGTTACACATGCCAGGGTTCTTATTTGATTAGTGGCTTACCATCATAAAAGCAAACCAATAATAACCATTGTCCAGCAGCAACATGCTCTGATGAAACTGTCCTCTGAATCTTCTGAGCTCTGAAAAATCCAATAGATTCTTATTGGGAGACATTAAAAAGCGATTGTTTACTGAGTTTGCGTCAAGTACCTGATAAATCTGTTCTCCTTCAATCTAGTCCAGCCAGACCCTCAGAGCAAAACAATTAATCATTCTCTCCTGGGAAACAGACATTACGTCAACGAATGGTTGTTTGTTAGCTTAACACGCTTTACACAAAAATTGCACTATTGAACATGGAAGCCATTAAATCCATTAGCAATATGAATGTTTCTCAGGGAACCCATCAGAATATAGACACAGAGGTGCGGCTTTGCTGTAGTCTTTTTTTGTTATTTATAGTCTAATAAGAATAGTTCAGGTGGATAGAATGAGCAGGACCCCCGGATGAGTGTGTGATCAGCCCAATGGTTCGATGGAGAATGTGGCTGAGCACTCAGAGCACGCTGAATGCAGACACACTGATTGAGTTGGTCGAGATGAACACAGGCCTTCATTAATAGGAAGCAAATGGAAAGGATCTATTCACAGCGAGCGGCTTCCCAACACTCTGTTCAACACAGAGAAAAATACATTCAAAAATAGGTTTACATGATGTTTCTGAATACCATTGAGTTTTTATACTCTTCGATGTAGAATCACTTAATTGATTAGAACAATTTTACTGTCTAATCAATAGCTGGAATATAGAATAGAATAGAGTAGAATATGGATGTATAATAGAATAAAATAGAATAGAAGAGGTACCAGCATCTCTGCAACCTTACATATGACAAGTGGTTTGGAAAATGGAGAATAGAATAGAATAGTCTCCAGCATCTCCGCAACCAGGACAAGTGGTTTGGAAAATGGATGTAGAATAGAATAGATCCATATTCTATTCTATTCTATTCTATTCTATATTCCAGCTATTGATTAGACAGTAAAATTGTAGAATAGAATAGAATAGAATAGAATAGAATAGGCTCCAACATCTCTGCAATCTTACATAGGACAATCAGTTTGGAAAATGGAGAATAGAATAAAATAGAATAGAATAGAAAATAGAATAATAATAGGCTCCATCATCTCTGCAACCTTACATAGGACAAGCAGTTTGGAAAATGGAGAATAGAATAGAATAGAATAGAATAGAATAGAATAATAATAGGCTCTGACATCTCTGCAACCTTACATAGGACAAGCAGTTTGGAATAGAATAGAATAGAATAGAATAGAATAGAATAGAATAGAATAGAATAGAATATAGTATAAAATAGAATAATAATAATAGGCTCCAACATCTCTGCAACCTTACATAGGACAAACAGTTTGGAAAATGGAGAATAGAATAGAATAGAATAGAATATAGAATAAAATAGAGTAATAATAGGCTCCAGCATCTCTGCAAACTTACAAGTGGTTTGGAAAACGGAGAATAGAATAGAATATAGTATAAAATAGAGTAATACTAGGCTCCAACATCTCTGCAACCTTACATAGGACAAGTGGTTTAGAAAATGGAGAATAGAATAGAATAGAATAGAATAGAATAGAATAGAATAGAATAGAATAGAATAGAATAGAATAGAATAATGATAAGCTCCAGCATCTCTGGAACCTTACATATGACAAGCGGTTTGGGAAATGGATGTAGATTAGAATAGAACAGAATACAACCGTACATAGGACAAGTGGTTTGGAGAATAGAATAGAATAGAATAGAATAGAATAGAATAGAATAGAAGGTCTCTGCAACCTTATATAAGAAAAGTGGTTTGGAAAATGGATGTGGAATAGAATATAATAGAATAGAATAGAATAGAATAGAATAGAATAGAATAGAATAGAATAATAGGCTCCTCTGCAACCTTACATAGGACAAGCAGTTTGGAAAATGAATAATATATTTAATATTATATAATATAATACTAGACTTGCGTCAGCCCATACACAACTGACAACCAGAGGGTTATTGTGTGAAGGTGATGTTTGTGATAGCCAGGGTCCCAGGGAATTGTTAAGGGGTGGTGCATGGTATTTAGCAAGTTGATACACAGTTGCTAAGGTGTTCTGGTGGTTGCTAAGCAAGTGCTCACTGGCCCAAATCAACAACAACAACAACAAAAAGGGCCCATCCCCAAGTCTCTATGCTCTTCTTTTTTCTAGATATGACACACGTGTAAGTCCACGGGAGTATGTGCTTGAAACTTTATTACGATAGTCCACTTTAGACATCCTAACACCTAACCTTAACCTAAGAGTCTACCAATACTCCAATCACTGCTAATTGACAAAGTTACTTCTAGTCAGTAGAATGTCTAAAGTGGACTATTGAAATAAAGTGTAACCAAATATTTTGGTTGTGATCACTTAGAAAAGCAATAGCACACTTCTACTCAAAATGAGTAGAACTCCTCAACATT